CACCTCTCAGCAGATTCAAGGCTTAACACTAAGATCATGTTGACTTACAGAAAATAAAGTTTTAAAATCTATGCACTATCATAGTTCTTCAACTTTATAGTTAAGATTCCTCTGTGCCAGGCACTATGATAAACACTGAGTGTATAAGCCCTGCCTTCTATGGGGGTGGCAGTCTCCTCCACGGCATTAAAATATCACTAACATCTTTCAGCTAGGATCCATTATATGCCTACATGTCTTTAAAATACCTGACCCAAAGGTTATTGGCTCTGAAATTTTCATTTTTTATGCTTCCAGGCTTTGCTTCCACATTGTCAAAATACTGCAAGAGATTACCTTGACTCTACTAAAAAAAAAAAAAAAAGGAAAGAACTAAATTAAATTCTCAATGCATAAAATAATTATTTCAACCACTAATCTTGACTTTTGCCTCATATTAGTGGGCTGCAGTTGTCGTAAGATACTTCCTTTAGCATTTTTCTGCATTATCAAAGATTTTTAAAGGCTATGGATGTCTTAATAAAACCTTTTTTAAAGTTAATGTGCTAGTACATATATAACCCACTGAAAAGTAATACCCCAGTGGTATTCCATTGCCTTAGGTGTCTGAAACTTCTGTCTCCAGAGTCAATGTACCAGTCACTCCTTCGAAGTATATTATCTATGGCTTCCTTTGCCAGCTTTGATCAACTAAAGCACACCATTTTCTTCTCAATTCTAGCCTCCTTTCCTCAGAGATCCACCTAAGAGAACAGAAGAAGAAAAGTATAATGGGATAGACAAGAGCCCTATGGCCAGACTGAAGTGGGAACCAGAGGATGCTTAAAGGGACTTTTGTTCTGGTTCAACATATAGTTCTTGAGCCTAAATGTGACAAACACTCACAGGTGCTGAGGAATCAGACATAAGGGAGATATATTTTATGACTGCTACCCTTAAAGAGTTTATTTGTCCTTCTTGGCTGCTTTAAATAAACTCAGCTTGTACTCAAAGGAGTAGACACAAGGTGAGAATTAAAAACCATAATGAGCATTTGCCCTACATCATCAGAATCTGCATAGAATGTTGTCCCTTAGTTTTTCTGGATAAGAACTTCATTTTGGCTCCATTTCTCAATTACTGTTCTCACTTAGACCATTTTAGCAACAATTTAATTTGCTCTTACTTCCTGAACTTTGACCCTAGATAGCTGACCCCCCACAGTTATCCTCAGCTCTCCTGACCCACTGCACTGAGGACTCAAACAAGAGATATTTATGCCTTGTGCCCACCTCCATCTTCAGTGAGACAGACCAGCCAGACCTGTTTCCGCCTCCCCTAGCTCATGAGGAAGGAGCAATCATACTCACTGCAGAAGCACACTGATTAGAGTTAGTGTGTGCTCACGTTCCGCTGTTTTGGATGTACCTGGCCCATATACAAATCACAATGGGCTGAGGACATCCTAGCAACAGACTTTAAGATACATAGAATAGAGGTAAAAAAAAAAATAAAAGGCCTAAAACTGCATGTGCAAAAACCCACATTACGTCTACTCTGTTTTGCCTATCCTGGTTTTGACATTGAAAAAATAAGTAAGTTTAATATTCATGTGGATTTCTTTTCTCATCAGTCATCCTTATACTGTTAACACATGTTCAAAACCAATTAAAAGATTAAAGTCCTGATTTATAGGATTCAATCAGTTTTGTAGATAGCTACTGAGTAAATAGCCTTAATTTTTTTCCTTATTTTTTTATTTTTTATTTATTTATTTTTTTGGTATTATTAATATACAATTACATGAGCAACACTGTGGTTACTAGATTCCCCCCATTATCAAGTCCCCACCACATACCCCATTACAGTCACAAGATGCTATAGAGTCACTACTTGTCTTCTCTGTGCTATACTGCCTTCCCCGTGCCCCACTACATTGTGTGTGCTAATCGAAATGCTCCTTATTCCCCTTATCCCTCCCTTCCCACTCTTCCTCTCCACTTTTTTTTTCTTTTTTAAATGAGTTATCTAGCTGGTAAAATTGTTGAAAGAATATTAATTATAAACCAAAGGTATTAAATGTGTATATAAATTGATGTGAAATCTTCATCCCTAAGAAAACCTACAGCATGGTTGTGAGAATTCAATCATTTGAATACACAAAAAGCCCATACAAATGAACAACATTGATATCCACAAAAGAAAAATGAAGAGGATATGAATGAATTCAGAGAAGAAAAGATTAAAATAGCCAACAAACATATGGAACAAGGCTAAAATTAACTAATAGTCTGGGAACTGGAAACAAGTTACAACCAAAGTATCACTAAGCCTATTAATTGCAAAAATTAAGAAAGCAACACCCATTCCTGGGATGGAAGCAGGTAAAATTGTACCAGTGTGCATAATCAGTAGAAATGTGAAAAATGAAATCAGTCTGGCAGCATTTATTTAAATTAAAAGTATGCATGCCCTTGGAGCCAATAATGCCACCCCTGAGAATGTATCCTATGAATGAAAGCACCAAAAAGTTCATTTGTACATGCAATCATCAGATCATAGCATTCCTCAGAGAGGCAGAAAACTGGAAACAGAAAATTCCATCAAGAAAGGAATGATTGGATAAATTATGATACACCCATACTGTAAAATAATGCACCCATTGGAAGAAAGAATTAAAGCTATACCAGACAACTTGGCAAAACATTCATATAATATGAACTTTTTTTGAGAAGTATTTACTTCCCAAAATTCTGTATGTGTATATGGGTGCATGCGCCAGGATGGATGTGGATAGGGAGATATACATGTACTCTGTACCTGGGTTTAATTTATATATGAATACATATTATATGAGTACAGAAGGATTAAACATGTTTAGTTGTTAAGATGAGTTACTGTGTATGTGAGTAGGGCCAAAATAGCATAAGCAGAAAATGAATGAAAGGGGAGACATGCAAAAATGGAAATGTTAAAAGAAAACTGCATTTAGAATAAAAAGTATATATTTGATCATTTATGTAAAAATAGGTATATGCATGGGATTTTGTATATAGAAATTGATTAAATGATTTTTGAAAATTCAAAAGGAGCAAATAACAAAGGAATAAGAGCATAGGAAAAATTATAGAAAAACAGCTATCTAATCCTGGAATGTGGAAGGCCAAAGCAAAGAAAAAAAAATAAAAGAAACAAAGACAGTAGATTTTACAAAGAAAAGTTTTAAATATCAAAGAGCTCTATAAACAAAATAAATAGTAATCAGCAAACTAGAAAAATTAAAACAATTATAACAGTAGGATAGCATATTTCATAAATAAAATGATCTTGCAAAACAGTAAGAATTTTAGCACTGCTTAGAAAAATGGACAAAGAGCTTGAAAGTATCACAAAAGAAATATAAATAGCCAATAATCTAAGAAAAAAACAGTTTAATTTCAATAATGAGTAAATAATTAAAATCTAAAGCATTAAGTAACAAATGTTATCCATTAATTTGACAAAATATTTTAAATAATTAATGCTACTAAAGGTATAAGTAATCAAGCCTTCTCGATTACTGCTGGTAGCATCCTCCTGCAGATCACTTTGACAATTTGTCAGTATTGCCTTAGACTCAGTAGTTTCATTTATAAAATCAACCATTATGAAATAACAGAGAAGACACAATGGTTTATATACCTAGATGCCCATTTTAGTATTGATCTTAGCAGGCAAATGGAGATAGTTTAAATATTGAATGAAAAGCTGTGTAAATGAACTCCAAATGATGGAATATTATATAGCCATTAAAATATTTTCAAAAAATATTTAATGATATGTTAATACTATTAGAATAGTATTAAATTTACAAGTCATAAAAACACCTTACAAGCTGTTGTTGTAATTTTATATACATATATTTATACAAAAAAAGACCAAAACAGTCAAGATAATTTCTTCTAGGTATTAAAACTGTGATTTTTTAATGCTTCTAAGTATTTTATGAACCTCACATAGTCGGTATCTATTAATTAATACATTATTGTCACTGTGAAGTTTTTCTTCAAGTAACTAAGAGGTCACTACTCACTTTCCAAATCGATTTTGAGCAGGACAAAAAGTATATCATAGGCTTCAATCTTAACAATCCATGACTCAGCAAAGTGCCATTGATTAGCACTAGGAGTCTATGTAACTTCCATGTCAGCTGTACAACCCTGGTCTTAACGTGTGTGTGTGTGTGTGTGTGTGTGTGTGTGTGTGTGTACTACTACCGGCCTTCAGTCTTAATTATCACTTATTGACCTGTCCTGCTTCCATATTAACCTTCAGCTATGAACCTGAGACATGCATAAATTGCTTTGCTCTTTGGTAACTGTTAATTCTAACAGAAGTCTCAAAACTTCTTGATCCCATAATCTTACCTGTAAAAACTATTTGCACATACAACTCTAATAGCTTTATTTTATTTTTAAATGTATATGTATTATTGTTAATATACTAATATAATATGAACCAATGTTTATAAAGTTAGTAAAATTAAAGTCGCCCAAATATAAAAAGTTATAAAGAATTTGATAAAAAGAAATATAAATTGGAGTTCTATCATTTTGTTCCCACACCCCAATGGACGATTTCATTCATTCATACCCTAAGATGTATTACCCTGCTATGAAGATCACAGTCATAGTCTATACTCTCCAATCCCATTATCCATCTCCTTCCCCCATTGCAGCTGAAGCCATGTTCTGAAATTTCAGGATGCCTTAGAGGTGAGTTGACTCAAACTATGACAATATCCTTAACAGAAGTTACCTGTATAATGTGAAGAACTTACTTGTATAATGTGAAGAATCAGGTCCTTTCCATGCCCTATTTTATCTTTTGGCAAAATCTGGATTGTATACAGTATGGTGTAACTTCATTTCTATTATAGTTGTTGCCATTTGTTGACAATGATTACTATTAATACCACTATTACTTTATTGGCATAAGTAAAGTTATAATATAATGTTCTTTCAGAAGTTTCAAAAGCATACCTCTGCATACTTTTGAAGGTCATTATGGCATGGAGCAAGAAGGGATGTCTTCTCCCATTTCTGTGCAACTTGATTAGCTTCTTCTATCTTCTGCTCACAACTTTTTTGAGAGTTTAGCAATGTCACCTCATAAAATTCTTGAATATCTATGAAGAAAATATAAGGGAAGAATCAATATATCATGTATTATCTCATAAAAATCTTCTGCATGTATGTGTGTATGTGTAAATGGAAAATTTTGCTGATTAAAAGAACTGCATAAACATATATCCCAAAGAAAAATAACAAAAGTAGAGGAAATTCTGAATTTGCATTTTTACCTACATGAGAATTCTTAGAGCAGCTCTATTCATAATTGCAAAAACTAGAAGCAACCAAGATATCCTTCAATTGGTGAATGGATAAACAACTATAGTAAATACATATAGTGGAATATATTCAGCAATAAGAAGGAATGAGATACCAAAGCATGTAAAAACATAGGTGAATCTTAAATGCATATTGCTAGATTAAAAATCCAGTCTGGAAAGGCTAATTATTATGTGACTCCAATTATACTATATTTTGAAAGAAGCAAAACTCAAGACAGTAAAATGATCAGTGATTGCTAGAGATTCTGGGAAAGGAGAGGATTAAATAGGTAAAGGACAGGGTGAAGAAAATATTCTGTAATGGTGCTATAATAGTGGTCAGCTAACATGAAGCATTTGTCAAAACTCATAGAATTTTACAGCACAAAGAGTAAACCTTCAAGTACATTAAATTTTAAAAATCATTTAGATCAGGGAATTCCCAAGATGAAATGCAGACTGTGATAAAATAACCTAACTGTATTACAAATGTAAGAGGCAATCTCACTGAAGGCAATACAAGAAAAAGGTGATGTCCTGAAAATGAGTAGAAACTGTAAAACCAAAGACAAAGAAACTATACAACAGCATCCTACTCTACACTCTAGCTGGTAGGTAAATTTGTTTCCCATAGGGTACAAGTTAACAATTTTGAAACCATTGTACATATTTACCAGAATTAAACAAGTAAACAGGTGGTGAATGGTGGGAGTCAGGTTTCTCACTGTTGGAGCTGGAGCTTACAAACAAGTAAGTGGGGCGAGGGGAAGAAGGGTACTAGTATGATCCATGTGATTTGGGGTTAGGTTTGTAGACATCAGTATGAATTCCTGTTTGGCTTAACACAGATACAAATGAATACATAAATATTTACAGATATGTACATACATGGATTAGTATATACACATATATTTCCTTACTCTGTATGCTGAAAGAGCATAGAAGTAATGAAACAAACCCCAGTGAGAATGAGCACAAGTAAAACCCAGACTTTGGCCTCTATATGGCATTCTCCACCAAATGGTAAAGGGGAATGAATAAACACTGCGGCACTAGATGAGAATTAGTGGGGAGGAAGGAAGGAGGTAATGTGAAGAGGTGGAAAGGGGAGAGGGAGGAAGGAGGAGAGAGAGAGAATGGGGAAGGGAGAAAGTAAGGGAGGGAGGGAGGGAAGAAGGGAAAAACATGAATAGAAATAAATATGTGGGATTAAAGATGGCGGCATGAGAGGAGAGACAGAGGTTTCCTCCTAAAACTGGATACAGTTAGAAAATTTAATTGGTGCAACTAATCCTGAGAGAGCAACAGGAAAGAGGACGGTGTCAGACTGCACACACCTGGAGAAAAGAGCAGACCTCAGAGAACTGGGTAATGTACCAGAGCTGTGGATCAATGGGACCCGAGCCCCTCCCCCACCCCAGCTCACTGGCAGGAGGAAGACAAAAGGAGCAGGGAGGGAGTGGAAGGCCTGGGACTGCTGAATACCTAGCTCCAGAGATCTGCACTGGGGGCACAAACCTACATTTCATGGTGCTTTCATGAGACTCACATGACTACCAGGTTGGAAAGTTAAAACAGGCACAGTTCCTGGGGAGACTGGGATTCCAGCTGCTTGTGGAAAGCAGGGCTCCATATATGGCTGCTCTGGGACAAACACTTATACATGTGTGCATGGCCCATTGGCTCAGGCAGTGGAGACAGGCACAGGAGGCAGGAGGCGGGGAATAGCTCTTTCCTACCCCCAGTACCACTCCCCTGCGACCCGTGACATTGCTTCAGGGGCTCAGCAGCTCCAAAATAGAGCTTCTGGACACTAGAGGGCGCCATATACAAACATGAAATGCAAAAGGAACCTTGTCCAGAGTAAAATTGTTAATACAACTCCAGAGAAAGATTTAAATGATATGGACCTCGTGACTCTTCCTGAAAGGGAGTTCAAAACAAAAATCAGCAACATCCTAATGGAGGTACGGAAAGACATGCAAGAACTCAGGAATGAATTCAGGTCAGAGATCCAGTCGTTAAAGAACACGATGGAGGGTATTAAAAGCAGGTTGGATACAGTAGAGGAGACAATAAATGAAATAGAAACTAGAGAAGAGGAATACAAAGAAGCTGAGGCACAGAGAGAAAAAAGGATCTCTAAAAATGAAAGAATATTGAGAGAACTGTCTGACCAAGACTAAGTGGAGCAATATTCGCATTATAGGGATACCAGAAGAAGAAGAGAGAGAGAAAGGGATAGAAAGTGTCTTTGAGGAGGTAGTTGCTGAAAACTTCCCCAATCTGGGGAAAGAGATAGTCTCCCAGGCCATGGAGATCCACAGATCCCCCTACACAAGGGACCCAAGGAAGACAACA